GTGGGTGGTTTTGAGTTCACTGTTTTTCAAAGAAATTTGAAAGACCGGCTGAAAAGACCTTGGACATATGTCTGTGAGTGCTAAAAGAAAGCAACCAAAGTAGGTTCGACAGCTACAGTGTCAGGAACAGTGTATTGAACATATCCCATATTACCTTTCGGGATTGTCGCGAGCAAATTTTTTCCTAGGGCTAAAAGCGAAACTCTGGTTAATAATACTTATAAACAAAAAAATTAAATCGTGTAATGCTAAACGGGGAAGGCAATGAAAATGGCATCAAGATCAATAGATCTAATTAGCAAAAAAAAAACAAATTGTACGTGCAGCACACTTTTTTTTCTAATTTTAAAAAAAAAACAATTTGCACGTGCAGTACGCTTTTTGTCTTCCTTTGTCGTTGTTTTGCACAACTGCAACGCTGTTTTGTAGGACTAAAACCTCACGCTTCCTAGTTACACATTATTTTTGTGGAAGGATTGTCGTATGAGCTTACCCAATATTTTGTCTCCTGTGTTCATGTTCGCTTTTATTTTTCACTGCCGCTCATTTTCACCTTGCTTACCGCTAGCATTTCTCATTGTTTCACCGCCGCTTTGAATTTTCATGTTTTTCTTCCGACAAAATTCGTCTGTTTTGTTTTCAATCACTCGCTCTAGCTCTTTCTCTGTTATCCACGTGAGTATAAACATCAAAAATAACGTCGAAAAGAACACGACTTTGCCGTTGTGTTTTCTTTCTAAAAGTCCGGCCGGCCATGCGATTTCTTTCCAAATAAAACCTTGAGTTGCATTTCGGTTGCCATACCTGTAGGTTGAATTATTTTATATTGGTATGCCTGTGGTGCGGACGGACTCTCGGGCGGGCGGTGTACGGTCACGTGATTACCAAATTTTCTCGGACGGGTAGTTTACCACATTTTCTTACCCATGGTGCTCCGCTTCTCGCGTTTCGCGCGCGAAAGCTCCGCTATAAAATATCAGTAAGTCTACAGTGACAAAACCGATTAGTGGTGCCGGATCTCCCAGTTTTAGACCTGGATCAGTACAATAATAGAAAATATAAAACGACAAACTGATCCTTACGGTAAGGCAATGAAGAAGTAAACAAAAAAATTAAAACAAAAAATATATATTTAAATAAATTTGTTTAAACATATAGTTTTTGTTTTATTCTTTTTACTTCTACATCGCCTTGCCGTAAGGATCAGTTTGTCGTTTTACATTTTCTCAGAGTAGCTTCCTTGAAATTACCTGCATTAATTTTCTGGTTTTATGGTTTTTATAGGTGGTTACTAGCCATTAATCCGATAAATCTAAAATAAAAGTTTATTGCCTAGTTAGTCTGCGATTTTTAGTCTGCAAATCCATGAAATTTAAGTTTTGGTACAATTTTGTTAAGGTTTCCTTTTTCAGTTCTGTAATAATCGACAGTTTCGAGTAGTTCATATCATGATCATGCAAGTATTGAGAAATACATTTATCATGTTTGACAAGCTGATGAGACTATTAAAGATTTCTTACGTAAGAGCTCGTTTAAAGAAGAAACTTCAAAACTGCGTTTGGAGTTATATTGCTAAGGTTTTAAGCTGTGTTAAAAACCAAAAACTTAAAATACCACCCAAATTTCTCATTCAAACAGAAATACATGACTTTCCCCAACACGTTTTTCACGCTTTTAGGTAAATTTTTGTGGAAGGCTGTTCCACATGGCTTATGAATAATTTTTGGTTTAATTCACGTCTGTCATAATGACATGAATGACTTTTACAGCTTTGTTGTTGCTTTAAGGAATACGTTCTTTCATCCTAATTGCGTTGCATTCTTTAGTTTGTGTCTTTTTGTTCTTATATTAAACCGTACGAATACAATGCCCTTTGAAACCGACAATAGATTGAACATTAATTGATAAGCTACTAAAATCATTGGCTCCCCGCAATTGCATTTATGCCCTGAACCGTCTTATATGATAGCTTTTCAAGTAGCAAACTATTACTAAGCATTTCTACTTCCTTGTGTCTACATAATGGCAATCTGCATTTCTGCCTTTCTCAGTGTGTTGCTCTGCGCTTTTATAATCGTTGGATTTGGTCAAGAAGAACAGGAATCTACGCACCCGCTTATTATTGTTTCGATGGACGGGATGCGATGGCAGTTTATAGAGAACCGATATGCTAACACACCCAATCTCGACTTCCTTGCCCAAAATGGAGTGACATCCAAATATCTTAAAACCGTGGTACCCAGTAAAACTTGGCCAAATCACCATAGCTACCTAACGGGCTTGTATCCAGAGAATCATGGAATCGTGTCGAACATGTTCTGGGATCCAGTCTATCAAGAAAAGTTTGTTCTGGTAAGTATGCAATCTTAGTCTCAGCTCCAAGTTCTCGTTTTAATTTTGTTGTTAGCCTTTCATTTATTTGCAGTCTATTCGTAACTAAGGCTCCGAATAAAATTGACGAAAGTCGCAGAGAAAATTCGTCACTCGTTCAACAGCAAGTGACTGGGAAGATAGCTCCAAAATATTTGTCTTCCACGGTAGAATGATAAACTGCGCGTGATGTTTTGCAAGCTCCGTAGAAATAATTATAATAACATAAATTATGTATATTCCTCGTTTCCCGCCTAGAAGGCGGGTACCGCTCCAAAGCAATCAGTACAGGCCAGCCCAAATACGTAAGCAATCTTCACTCATGCAAACCTAAGCCTTAAATTTATAAATAACAACAAAAGAGAAGCCAGTTCTTTGGTAGTATAAATATGTACATTTTTCACTATCGCATATCTACTTCACCAAGAAGCAGTCCTATTAACACTGTCATGGGTCGATCGAGTGGCTTTTGTTCCTTTCGGTAACTCTGAGCGCAAGTGTTCGTTTTATGGTCTGTCAGCAGTAGTTAACGTTGTGTCATTTACTGTGGTTCTAAAAATTTCAGCCTGGGGGAAATTACAAGATGTGATCATTGAAACCGATTGATAGCCAGCCTATACTTAGGGTTGACGTCATCTAAAGGGACGGAGAGCGATTTCTGCATCAGGCCCTGGGAACAGGTTAAGTTTGAGCCAGTGACGTCACAAACTTGCTCTGAACATGCGTATTGAGATCTCTTTCGCGCCAACTACAATTCCCCACATTCCATCCCTACCTCCTGAAAGTGGCTAAAGAAGACTTCCTCAAATAACTTCAGCAATACTTTTGTTTAAATACTTTGAGTATTTTTTACCGGTTTTTCTCCAAAAGTTATTTGTACATTCCCTGTATTTTCCCCTCTTTCCAATCATTGACAGTAAAAAGACTGATATTTACCACTCTTTTTGTATAGGATTATGATTGTAGTAATTATGATCCAAAGTTCTACAACGCTTCTCAGCCTCTTTGGTTAACCCTTCAAAAAAGTGGCGGTAGAAGTGGAGTGTATTTTTGGCCTGGATTCGGAGGATATCCAGAGAAGCCCACTTACTACGAAAAACCAATATGTCACGTCAATTGCAGTGCGATAGACTCCAAAGATCTACCGAAAATGCGGAATACAACCAACAATGGATTCCCCCCATATTCTCATTGTCAAGTCAATCATAGTGAACCAACACAGATGAGAATTGACAAGATCATGAACTGGCTCAAGGCTGATAAACCTCCACAGTTTGTAGCCCTTTATGTTGAAAATCCAGACGCTACAGGCCACAGGTTTGTAATAAACAAGCTGTAATGATGACTGATAACATGATGAAGTTCGTGTGCAAACCTTCCGAAAACAGCTGCCAACTTTTCAAAAGTAGATTTCGTTTGAATAATTTTGAGTGTTTTAAACTCAACAATAAATCAATCCACCTACTGATTGAACCTGCATTCTAAACAAAGTGTGCGTCAGTGTAAAGGAAGGGAAATCCTCAGCAAAGATTAGCCCTCAGTTAGACGCAAGGTTTCTTTGGGCTTTCCTGCTATTTTCTCATGAACAGTTGTAATTTATTATAGTGTAACATTACAAGTGGAAAAAGCTCACATGGCCAAATTTGAAAAACGATGCGCCCCAATGAAAAATAATTGGAACTTTCTAAGTAGCCTTTTTATTTTATGGTTATTATTTTTTGCTACGGGTTGGGGGGGGGGGGGCACCAGTCATTTTCCCCCTTGTTTCGATTTCATTCCCTTTAGCTCTCTGTCATACTCCTCGTACTTCTTTCAAGATGATTCATTGATCCATGCCTCATATCTTTTCTTGAAATAAGGAAAGGATCTGAGTGACGATAATTTATGCTTTTTCATTTTATAGCTATGGAATCTTAGAGCCCCAGTATAAGCAAGCTATGGAGGCTGTTGACCGTGATACTGTTGGGTACCTGATTGAGAGCCTCAAGAAGGCAAATCTCTTCGAACAGGTCAACCTTATCTTTGTATCCGATCACAGTATGACAAATACCTCATCTACCCGGCAAATTTTCCTCGAAGAATATATCAACCCGGATGATTTCCAGCTTGTGGAGGGAGGGCCTGTTGGACATCTTTGGGCGGATGCAGCTAAGATTGACGAAATATACCGAAATCTTACCAACGCAAATAACCCACACATGTCTGTATACAAGAAAGAGAACATTCCGGATGAGTACCACTGGAAACATAATCGGAGAATACCGCCAATTTACATTGACCCAGAAGTCGGGTGGGTAGTGCGAAAGACGAAAGCAGGATCCCGCCAGGGTAGTTGGACAGTGGGAGATCATGGTTGGCCTGCGGTTAAGTCCAAGAGCTATTCTGTGTTCTTTGCGCATGGCCCTGCCTTTAAAAAGGGCCTCAAGGTGCCCCCTTTTAACACTGTTGATCTGTACCCGTTGATGTGTAAGCTGTTGGGAATACAGGCTCTTCCAAACAATGGCTCTCTGGAAAATGTTCAAATGATGCTGAAAGAATTGGCACCTCCTACTGCTAAAGGCCAGGCTTTTACAAGGAAATCGTGTGCTCTCGTTGTTTTTATCTTGATTTCCATGACAGTTTTTGTTTGAACGTAGTCATAAGCGACGCAAAATAGTAACCATGTAAGGTAATGTTAAATTAAGAGCGTTTTAAAAAACGTTGTTCACAATCAACATAAATAGATAACCTAAAAAAAAATAAAGTTGTTGGATCTTTCGAGTAACACATATGACTTTTCATTAATGTTTAGCACCCCTTTTAAAGCCTTACATTTTGCCATTATTTTAGACTACAAGCAGCACTGTGATTGCTTTTTATTAAATGTAGTGGGGTATAACGTGTACCACGCGGCCACCAACAAAGGACAACCGCCACTTAAACAATGGCAGGATAAATACAGTCGGCAGACTTGCACCACTTCTTAATATAAAGCTATTTCGAGTAAGGTTGTCATAAAAAATGTGCACGCGACAATCCCAAAAGGTAACATGGGATACGATCAATACGCTTTTCCTGACACTGTTGCTATCGAATCGTCTATTGTTGCTTTCCTTTAGCATTCGCAAACATACGCCTATGGCCTGTCGTGCCATTCTTTCAAATTTCTTCGAAGAACGGTGAATTTAAAAGCACCCACAATACCTTTCGGGATTGATGCGTGCACTTTTTCCGACAACCTTTCTTGAAATACTCGAGCGCCATCCCGACAAGTTTGACAGCAGGTGACGTCACATTCGAAACCGTCGTGGACGACTGGGAATGAGGCTTAATTTTCCACTGCAAAAAGACTTGAGTTGACGTTTCGAGCTGTTGTCTTGATTCCCTCTGATGAATAAAATCGGTATCAGTTGGTTTGAGAGTTAATGAAATATTTCAGGAGAAATATCTAAACTAATGCTGACCGACCTTTCAAAGATAAATCATTTTAATATCAAGGCAAACGTGGTTTGGAAAAAATTAGTGAAAACCATAAAAGGCATGTCACGGTTTCTTTAGTAATTGTGTGAACAACTTGATTGTGAAAACCTTCTGACAGTATATATTATATACGGTTTAATGTTCCCACTTTTTCTTGATATATATGTATATCATTACACGACAGTATAAAACACCAAAGGTGGTCACAGAAAAGAAATTGAGGCCTTCTCAACACGAATACGTATATTTTTTAAACTGGCGCACACTTGTTTACTCGAATCGGCCTTTCGTCCACATGAACCAGTCAATCTACTCACCAAAACCGCATCTTTTTGAAATCTCTCGAATTCTGGTTCATGTATCTCCACTCGGATGTCATCTGATTAGTTCTTCTCGTTGTATAAGGGTAAAGACACTAAAACTAACACTAGTCAACACTGAGTAATTTGATTTTAATAGGTGCAACGAACAGATCACGTTTTATCACTAAAAATGATTAATCATTTTACCGTTTCTGAAGAATTAAATAAGTTAGATTTCCCGCTGTCACCAGCCTGTTTCTCGACCTCGTCCATTACACCGTCGAGTGATTTATGCATAAAATATTCTTTGATGACGTCATACAGTCCCATACATTTGACTCTTTGTCTTGAGGTGCACCTGTGGTGTTATTCCCTTTAGGTACTTCACCAGGTCAATCAGTCCGCCCATAAATCTTTTTGGACCGCCGTATGTTCCTAACGTACGAGCCCCATGTCCTAACGTAAGGCCTTGAACTGTCATAGAGTCTTTTCGTTTTTGTTTTTTTTTTATTAAACTGGGGATTGATATCTCCCTGTACCTTTTTTACAAACTCACTTGTTAGACCATCAACTGCTTTGCTCCAGAGATCCTAGGATAACGGTGACAAAATAAAAGACATTCTCATTGAGTTACAGACACCCTTCTGCAGTTTTCAGCCTTCTCCCGTGAAAGGAATAACTCTTGCTCTTTCCAATATTAGTCATTTCAAGCGGGTATTGATGAGTGGAAGAGCCATTCTTGAAGTGATTTTTTAGACGGCGTAATCAAGGTTTTCCCTGTAACTTGAGAAGACTGTTCACTGCTTAAGCTAATGATAAAGTAATATCACACTAAAACAATTCGAGTATAGTTTGAAAGAACAAAGTATGTGTCTGTACTTCTCTCATTAATTGCAGAAAATGCTGGATAAAAGCACGATTACGAATATCAATGGACATCACAGGGTGCATAGGAATAATAAGAACAATGACTGGGTACAAGCCAGCCTCACTTGGAGAAAGTATTTGCAAGGGGCCTGGTGCGGTCGCCTGGGACAGAGCACCTGTAGCCAACTGTAGCCCAAAATGGAATTAGTGTGTTGGCACGACGACAAAGAAGCGGAAGCAGAGTCGTACGTTTGCTAACGGCATTTTCTCCCCGGCATTTTTCTTTTGGTTTTCGCGAAAGCCAAAGGAGTATGAGAAGTATTGTACTATCACGGATGGATGAAACATATTGAAATTCTACACACTTACGCGCTTAAAAGGTGGGTGTGTTTTGTAACAAATTTTTATCCTAAACACCTTCCTTTTAAATATGTACAGCTGGTTCCTTTAAAAATACTGGGCAGAAATCGAAGAAAGACATAATCTTGTCGAAAAAGTTGTGTGAGTACAGTTAACAGCAAATTAGCTTCGGCTGTAAACTTTGAAATGTGTTGTTAGGGGTAATTTACAGTTATGCTTGAAGGTGTTACTGTTTCTATTTCCTAAGTATTTCATGATTGCCATACTTTCGACTGACAAAAATGGCATTGTAATTAAAACGAACAGTGTTTGTATTAAAATCGCAGAAGTTTTTTCTATGTATTTTAACTCTACACAATTTGCATTTTAAACCCTTGTGAACATAATGAGAGCAATAAGCAGTCCTCCACAATGTCAAGAAACATGTTTGTTTTGTTTAGGGAAAAGATATTATTTTCTCGCTTAAATCAGGTGATTGCCACTACATCCAAGAAATTAAACGCTAATTAATGGATTGGAAAAACGACTCAATGACAGCGGGTTGTTAAAAATCATAAAGGAGACGCATATAAACCTGTAACTCGACTGTAACAGGTAGCTATGCATTTGTCGTTAAAATTCAATGTAATTTGCAACACCTAGAAAGACAAAAAGACCTGTCATTTCTTAACAAGCTCATGATATCGTGGTTAAATTTCTGTAGAAATACATGAATTGTTTTTTGAAGATAATTAAATGGTATGCCTTTTTGCTCAAGAAAGACATTTCTGGCTAAAACATTATTTGTTTGCAAAAGGCTAAATTCCTCAAGCCACGCGAAAACCACAGGATCTTGCACCCGTCGCAATTAATATTAAAGAACATTTTTAACTTCTATTTTAACCGTAAAATCTGAATTTTCCGAAAAAAATGATTTTTTACCTTTCAAATACAGATGTATGTTTTAGGGATTTTTTGATAAACAAGCATCTTTCACTATAATTTATATATTAACATTGTACTGGCAGCTACCAATGGCCTTGAAAGTCTGAGTTAATCGACGGCAAAGGCATAGAGTCAAACATAGTAAACATCGAACTATAAAATTAATTGCCTTTGTCAGGGTAATAGAATGCTGCATTGTACTTCTCATGAACTAATAAAGCCTATGCCCAAGCAAACAGAAAGGAAAGCGGAAAATTTACCGTGAGGGTCAAAAAAAGAATAGTTATTTGTGCATAAAACATTCTATAACAAATTCGAGGTAAAAGTCATGAAAATCATTCTAAACTTCCTTTGAAATTTAATTGGATAAGCAGCAATACAACACCATATGAACTTTACAAGTAGGCTACAAGTCGTGTAATTATCAAAAGTTAAAACTCCGGGCCCAGTTTTTCGAAAGTTGGATAACGTTATCCACTGGATAATGATTTACCCGTGGGTAACGCAGTTGGTTTCCCTATAATACTTATATGGCGATTTATCCGCTGGATAGCAGCATTTAACAAGAATATCCAAGCATATAAAAGAAAGAAATTAAAAATAACTGTAAGTAAAAAGTTTATGAAAGTTTTTTGTTTGCTAAAGTAGTTACTCGAGATCCAGTACGTATAATCTGTGTACCGTGAAAACTCCTTTTTTTCGCTCGAACCCTATCGAGATTGAACCTGTTATTTTCCTCTTTACTCCTTTAAGAACATCATCCGAAACAGTGACGAGGAGATTTTTGTAACCGATCGGCCTTCCCAGCTTACACAATCGATGTCATGCAAGATCAGACAAAATGGTGATATATATCCGAGGCTGCCTTTCCAGAAATGAGCCCGCCCTTCTCTCCCGAAAATTCTCTTCTCGAAACTTCTAGTAACTTTTCGAGCCACGGGACTAAAAATAACTCTCGTACAGACACAAAACTTTAAATAGTCCGCGGTACCGTACCAACAAATTTTACGCTTCCTTGCAAGTTAACGGAGGTGCACATTGCGAATCTACCTCTCACACATATTCATTTAAATTACACACAATAATTGTTTTTACTTAATTTAGGGTAAGAGCAAGTTGTCATGAACAGTTTTTGAAGCTTATTAAAAACTATAGCAAGTATGGATGATCCAGAGCTGTATAAACCGGAGACTTCCCTCAGAAACGAAGAAAGTTCAATAACCACTGAAGATGCAGCAAACAACAACAATAGTGATGGGGTTCCTGTGCAAATCAAACAAAATACGCAGAGGTCGACATGGCTAAGGTACGAATGGTTTTGAGAGAGTCTTTGTTCCTCCAGGAGAAAGATATTCAATAAAAATGACATCTTTTTCAAAATGTGGAGTCCAAAGATGATGCTAGTCCATTGCCAAATCTCTAATCCCGTGTGTGAACACGTAGACCTTGCTCCGCCAATTATATAAAGCTGGAAATCCTAGGAATTTGACGTTTGGAAAAAAAAACAAAGCAAGCAGATTTGTATACTGATATACCCAATGGTCCATGAAGTGTCAACATGTGATCAGCTTGTTTATATTTTAGGACAAGAGACGGAAACTTGTTTAGCTGATAACCCAGCATGCGCGTCCAGATTTTGTGACTTACGATCAATCTATTGTTTTACTTTTTTTCCAGGTACTCGTTGCTGTTGGCTGAACATCCCTATGCTGTGTTTT